CAAAATCTCAGAATTTACTTTCTTTTACAGGAAATATATATTAATGTAGTATCTTCATTTTTAAGTCATGATTTTTGCTTAAATTTATATTAATGTAAAATTTGTTCATAATGCAGTCAACTTAAATACTATTAGTATTTGTTTATAAACAGTTTAAATGTATAATACTTCTTAAGATAAACTGGAGTGGGAAATATAGTACCTGCATTGTGAAGGAGAGATATGGATGTTGCAGTATGGAACAGGTCATTTGAATAGTGATATCTGGAACAGGTCATTTGAATAGTGATATCCATGCAATTTTATTAAGGCAGCTATTGAATGAATAATGGTGAATGTGTTTCATTTCTTGGATCTCCCTACCTTGGTGAAAGATGACCAGTGTGGCTAAATAAAAAAAAGTAATAAACTTATTAATGGTAGTATAATAAGAAAAAGGAGGTTGTGTTGTTAAGGGTATTGAGGAATAAATATAGGTTGTCACAAAGATGTGTGGAAAGGCAAGAGTAAGGTTAACTAGAACAGCAATTTCACACTGATTTTTGACAAGCTAAATGATTTAGTAGCACTAACTAAAGAATGTAAATTATTATTACAGTATATTCACAAGGAAACACTAAACCCACTGGGGTCATACATTAACTTTAAAGAGTGTAAAGTTTTGAAGAAAAATGAAGTTCAGTAGCTAATGAAAAATCCAGAAAGGGTGATAATAATTTTGAAAAATATTGATGCTGGTGAGGGACTCATGATTCAATGAACTGTACTTGTCCTCCCCTTCCTTGGATTAAACTTGATTACTTCCTACAGGTGTAGTGCTTCCCCTAAATAAAATAATATCTATCAATAATTTCTGCACCTTAATACACTTAACACGAATGATAACTACAAAATCCATACGAAAAGTGAGAAACCGTTTAGATAAAAATGGAATGGAGGTTAAAATTTATTTTTTATATATTTTGGCTTCACAGTATTTTTTTCTTAATTACTGTTAGACATATGGTAAATATATGTATAGATATGTACTGTATTAGGGATTGGACTGTATGACTTTCATTTGTTTCATGCCTAAATGTACAAAGGGTTATGAAGATATATAATTTTGAAAAATTAGACAAAGACTAGTTGTTTGTGTATAAATCCCCCAAATTATCACTTAAATCAAAATAAACTTTTATATTCAAGGTTATCTTAAAAAAAAAAAAAATTTCACTAAGATGACAACAGAAAAATTAGTATGTAATTGTGTCGTAATCCTTGGACCATAATGACACTCAAGAGAAATATGAACATGTTTCCCCAATCTCAAATTCTTTACATACCTGTATACCCATTGATTTGATATCCAACTGCAGACTGTGTAGCCCAAATCTGCATTACATAAAATGAATACCAAATTTATATAAATTCAGTTATCTGACCAAGCTGCTGGTCTTCTCAAGGTTGAAAACTATTACCTAAACTGGTGAGAGTCTAGCTTGAATCAAAAAAGTATCCAACAAAATTTTGATAAAATACATTACTGTATATGACTGCATAAAATTTTTGAGTTGGATAAAATCACTTGTCTGATGATGCTAAGAATTTTAACATTTTCTCTGTTTTTTAGTTTCGAACCTACCTCACGTTCAGTCAGATTTGTACTGTAGATGAATCACTGCATTATCAATACAGTATCTGTCTAGTAAATTATAAGTTATTTCTTTTGAATTACACTAATATGACACTGTTGTTAGAGAATGTGACTGATACAATACCTCTCAGTTTCCTACTTATATTTGAATTTGAGGTTAGAATGCACATAAATTTATCTAAGGTCTCGTAATCTTTCCATCAAATCCAAATATTAATGAGAAACTTAAGATTAACCCCATTCCTCGATATTCTAATAAATGTTAATTTATATGTTTAATGTTAATTTTAATTTTTAACAGGGTGGGCTGGTAAGCCAGTGAAAGGCTATGGTCATATGACCAAAAGCTCCAATTAGCAGGTCATCATATGACCAAGACCGAAATCAGGAAACACTTGCACTGTTTCCTAATGAGTGGTGAATATAGTACGTATATAAAAAAAAAAACAGAAAAATATCCCTACTTTTCATATCATGACCAGTAAGTGAAGAAAGTTTGTAGCATTATCTATTTCTGAAAGATTATTATGTACTGTATCATAAAATATTTCATAAAATGTGAAATGTATAATATTTTCATTAATGTACATTACCCACAGTGGTTCATTTCACAAGCTCATTTTGCTACCATCATTTTTTATGCTATTCAGAGCCTTATATTTAAAGACCTTAAGCAATGCTTAGTGCTTCCTTAGAATGAAAAGCTAAAAGAAATAAAATATTTCTTTGTCAAAGAAAAATAGCATCTTCAGCAGATTAGCAACTGAAGGAAACCCAAAGACAGTGTTGAGAAGGAATGTATTTTTTCTCTTGCAAGCAGTGTTTGAAAAAAGTATGTGTAGGAGACACACTTTTGAGTATATGTATGAACATGGAAGTGATGTGAAAAAAAGAGCAGTACTGTCTTGTCATGTGTATGACTATGATGACAGTATAGATTTTAATTATTGCAAACTGCTTAGTGGAAGATACTAAGGTCAGGTCCCAAACCTACACACTACCATAGCTTACTAGAGTGAGAAATATGGGAATTGATATAACATAAACTCAACGAAAAGGCACTATAAACACGAGAAGTGTCAGTACTCATGGTCCAAGACTTATCAGTATCAAAACAAGGTAGAAGAAAGTTTAAAAGAGGAAACTCCACCATTACCTCTGCTAAATGCCAGGTTGACCAGACTGTGAGGACTATGTTGACCAGTGGGCCACTAACAGCAATAGGCTGACCAGACAATCAACAAGGAAGTCACTGGCTTCAGTCCAGGCTGTAAAGGTAAAAGTGCCCTCAAAACTAACCACAGGTACGTCAAGATAATGTTTGAATCTAGTAATAATTTGAAAAGGCAAATCATAGAGTTGAACCTTTTGCATCAGTTCCAAACTTCAGTTTGTCTAAGCACTTGGAAGTCAGGTCATGCTATTTAGTGTAGACACTTAGATTCATCCCTTCTCATTCCAGCTGAAGAAGCTATGTGACACTGCAGTGATATTGGATCTTAGTCTTTGTAATAGATGTTTTACTATCATACATTTTTGCATTATTGTAAAATTATTAAAATAAATGTATTCATAGCCATTTTCACCAGGGCAAGGCAACATAGAGAAGGAATGTGCATTCATCATCACTCATTCCATAACTGATGTGAATGAAATGTATCTAGGGTTATGAAAAGTAGATAACATATAGTATAATAGTTAATATTGGTTAAATGTTGTTCTTATGCAAATATGATCTATTCCTGTGAACTTTTAATGTAGTCACATGGTGTGGATGGATGGTATATGTAACTTCTGTGAGCTAGATGCCTCCCTACCTAGTGGCACCAGCATCTTGTGTGCCATATGGCAGGTTTTTTTTCTGTTTTGTTGGTGCTTCAACTGTTTTTATGGTCTACCAAAGTCCTTTTAATTAAAGACAAAACTTAAAAATCCTTTCAAAACTCTCCTTGTGATTCTTAATCATTCCTACAGTGATGCACCCTTATGATTTCCTGGGCATAAGCATATACTGTATGTAGGATTTTAAGAATTTCAAATCAGTCTAGTTTTCTTGATTATTGTGGAAAACTTTCTTTCTTATGGCTCTTCATCAGTCACACAGACACTCCTGTAGTCATCTCATGGAAGGGTTTCCTGCTTCATAAAATTAGGATTATAAAGCCATGCTAACTGTCTAGCCAATTTTAATACAATGCATTACCAATTTTACCAGAGAACTTGTCACCATTTTTGTAGTGCTTACTGTCTTCCCTTTGAAAATATATGTACTATATTGAATGTTGATGCAATTTAGGCTTTTTATCCATGGTTGACTGAACACCATTTTTTCCATATTTTAGTGCTGTGACATTATTATTACGTACAAGACTGAAGGATTCGTACAGATTTTTTTTTTAACACGTTAACCATCTCCCACTTTTTTTTTACCCAAGATAACCAGCTGAGAAAATATTTGGTTAATCTATAAATGTATTATGTGGAGCAAATTTGTAGCCCAAGGACAAGGTGTAGCTAGCAATAAAAGTTGGGAAACCGGCAGGCGGGACTTAGAGTCCTGGAGATGGGAAGTACAGTGCCTGCACTCTGAAGGAGGGGTGTTAATGTTGCAGTTTAAAAACTGTAGTGTAAAGCACCCTTCTGGCAAGACAGTGATGGAGTGAATGATGGTGAAAGTTTTTCTTTTTCGGGCCACCCTGCCTTGGTGGGAATCGGCCAGTGTGCTAATAAAAAATACTAATAACTAAATGAAGTTTAATATAAGTCAAGGCCTATATCTGAGGAATGACTACATAATTTGCAGTGAAGGTTGATGTCTGAATGTGTTCATCTGACAAATTTAGTCGGCAAAAGTAAATTCATAGGCTGTCACTTACTCTTCTCGTTGATTGTTATAGGTGTTGTATTTGCGTAATATTTTAATATTGTATCATTATTATATTCATGGGGAAGTGCTAAAATGATAGAGGTCATACATTGCCTGAGTCATCTTAAATGAATACAATACACAAGCCCTTAATTATTACATATATTCATGGAAAGTACTAGATATACAGGTGTAAGTCATTCAGCATTTATTATTCATTAATATATCAGTCCTTAGTCATATCCCTTCCACTGCCAGTACAATCCTATATTGAAAATGAACAATGATTTTGTATTAATGAAGTGTACAGCTGCAGATACAAAACTAGGGATAATATAATCAATATGTTGTATGTCACATTGGTGCTCTGCTGTTGGTAACATAGTATGTAGATTTTTTGTAATACTGTATTGTTTTACTCTAGGTAACACTGTAATTTTTCACTCTTTTATGTGGATGTGTAAGCACTAATAGTTTAAGGTCTGTGTCTGGGAACTTTTCAAGAAAGTCCCAGGAAAGAAAAAGGCAGCTGTGGTTAAATTTTATTTGGTAAACAGTATTAAGTATTTAAATAAAGGAATTGTTGATCTCACACCAAAGCTTGCAAAGATGATTTCTGAAAAAAAACAACAAAAAATTACTGAAACTATTGCTCAGCTCAAAATAAAATTTGCATTCAAGATAACTTTATAAAAGCTCATAACATAGAAAATTGTAAGCAAAATTGATTAGTAGATTATTCTTTAAATCCTTAGGGAACCAGGATAACTGGATCAAATGAGTGGTAACAAAGCTCCTTAATTTTAACCACTTCCTTGTACTGTATTAGCATTGCATAACATTTTACTATATCTTCATATACAGTCAAAGCCATCAGCTAGTAACACCAAGCAGACAAAAATTCTTTGAGTTTGCACATATCTGAAATTTCATGCTTTTAGATCAAACAGAAAACTGATATTTAACTGTTTTTAGCACATTTATTATGAAGTAAATTAAATTTCTCTAAAGTGTCAAACAAGCCAAACTGTACTCAAAATATTATTTTCTTAAAAAAATTTGATATTTCGATAGATAGATACTATACTGTATATTCCTGTGAATTACACAACACAGTATCATATATAAATATTTAACTTTGCAACCTTGCCTAATTCTCTTAAATTTATGTAATTTAGATTAAGCTAATAACCTATCTAAATTCAACAAAAATTTAGCCTAAACTGTATTATTTGACATCAATGAAATTATGTACAGTATGTTGCTCTAGCTATTTTTTTTTTTTTTGCCATTATAGCAAAAATTTTATATGCTCAGCCTGATTGAATGATTGTTGCCAAATAAGCCATGTTAGTAAACAACTTAATAAGTAAGATGTATTGCATACAGCAGTCCATGAGGGTAAAACTTTGTATGCATGGTCATCAAAGATTATTATTATTATAATCAAAAAGAAGTGCTAAGCCACAAGGACTATACAGCGGGTCATCAAAGAGCAAACTATATATAATACAAAATTGGCACATAACTGGTTAGTAACTTTTATTAATACTTTTTCCTGATGTACCCCTTAAATCATTAGAAAATAACTGAGTATTGTTATATCCACGAGAAGGGCTAAACCTGTCGGGGTCATACAGTGCCTGGGAAATGGGTGGTAATCACGATTTATTCAAGGAAGGAAAAATAAGTGGAAAATAAGTTTTTTGGTGGCAAACGAGATGCCTAGCTAGCTACAATGCATTTTAATAGACGATCATGTTGCAGATCTGCCAAGAATTTTTTAGGTTAACCTATAGGCTGAAATATACAACTTAGATGTAATGTTAATTACATTTCCCTGGAATAATTTAAGATATGGTTTTTGCCAATCTAGAATAAGACACTTTTTTTATTCTTTTTCTAAAGTGAAGGTTAAGTGCCTTGGAATGTTAGTTTTCATTACTAATATGGATACTATTATTGTGGATCATCACACTAACTAGCAATTCTTTTATATTAATCTTTCTAATGAAAGGTGGTACTTGATACATGAAGTAGCACACCACAGAACTGTTTCTTATATTAAGGTGAATTTAAAGTTCTGATGAGGTTTGATAACATTAGCATTCTTCTATGTACTGTACTGCTATAATTAATGACCTCAGTTTTGTGGACAGTACAGTCATTATGTTCATCCTAAGAAAAAAGTGAAATGTAGTCAGACCAGTATATGCTCATACAGACTGTGAGGGGGAGGGGTGAGTTTGGAAAGTAGTCATGCATATCAGGGGAAAGGGTTCACCTATATGTGGTTCAAGGGGTCGAGTCTCAGATCCTGGCCCTGCCTGTCTGTACATATGTACTATCTACATGTAAGACCCCAAAGGGGTCATACAGTGCTTGCAGAAATGAGATACATTCAAGTTCAGTCCAAGGAAGGTGAAGGCAGGTCCATTTCTGTGGATCAAAAGCCCCCTTACCAGCATTAAAATCTCCTAAAGGGTAAGTATTAAAATATCTAGAGTACTACCACTCTTTCCTGAGGGTAATAGTACTGTAGATATTCTAATACAGTGTTCTGTTTGGAATGTGTGTGAAGGAAGGTGTCAGATACAAAGAAAATTCTTAATAATTGACATAGGACACACCTTCCTTATTTAATTAAGAAAATTTTAATTAAGTATTTTCTGAATTAAGGAATTTATGCTCTTCTGAATTTTCTGAACTTCAAAGATCATTTGAAAATCCTTAAAAAAAAAAAACTCCTTATTTAGATACAGCAATTAAGAATCACTGGAGATCACTAAAAATATATAAATAAAATTCCAAATTAAATTTTTTTTGCAGATTAATGCATGGGTTATGCTCATGTGAGAAAAATCTTTTCAGATTCTTCAGATAAAAAAAAAATATTTTTACTTATTTGTTAAATTCCAAGTTAGATGCATTTTCTGGAATGAAGTTCCAATTTTTTTCAGAAAAATCTGAATTTGGGAGATAATTTTTTTTTGTCCAAATCTGGAAGATTTCTGAATAAAAGAAATATTTCTGGTAACAGTTGGGTATATGATATTGACAAGGTGAGAAAAGGACATGTAAAAACATTCATGATATTTTACTAGGAAACATTCTGGTCCTCGGACAAATCACTGAAGTGAACAAGGTCCTAGATAAGATAAGATGCTTTATTCCAGCATGATGTAATGTTTATACAGAGGTGAATGACATTTAGGTGTGCATGCAGAAAGCCCCTTAATATGCAGAGAATTTTAGGCAAACTTAAGACTAAAGATTAATAAGGCAATGACAAATTGAGTGGTTTTATATAAGGTCTCTTAGGTGGTTGTAAATATAAATTTAGGAGTTACAATGAATACAAGAGAACTGAATATCCTATTAGTACATGCTATATGGCCTAGGACCAAAATGTTTCTCATTAAAATGTCAAGTGTTTGCACACGTCCTTTTCCTCAAAAATAAGAAAATAACTGTCCCTTTAAATAATATATCCATTCTGTTCAGTTATTTGAGCAGTGTCACAAATGTTATACTGTATTGTATATGAGTGTAAAATACATATTAGGTCTGTTTAAAATGTGCTATTGTAAATATTTGTTTACTAAGTTTTGTTGATCTCATACATCTAGCTGAAATTAACAGATTGAAAGGGAAGTGATTTGTGGTTAACCAACTTAATCACTCACTGTAGCATGAATGATTTTAGAACATTGTCATAAAAATTTAGTGTTGTTAACCTAGTAGTTCTCATAAAGTACAGTAAGCGTTCATGTAATCTTAGCTCATACTACTCTGTTGCTTTTCCAAGGAGTGGATTTGATGATTAAAGTAAACCTTGCAACAAATACAGTACAGAAAATGCACAACTATAAATTCTTTAAAGTGCATTAGTTGTTTAGCAGAAAAAGTGAGAGAGAGATTAACATATTGAAGTTATAGAAATTTTTTGAATTATTATTTGTAATGCTGCAGTTACCTAAAATATGACTACCTATATTGTGTTTAACCCTTTGACTGTTTTGGTTGTATACATACGTCTTATGAGCCACCGTTTTTGATGTATATATACAGTGTACTCATAAATTCTAGCAGCTTTAAATTAAGCAGGAGAAAGCTGGTAGGCCCACATGTGAGAGAATGGGTCTGTGTGGTCAGTGTGTACCATATAAAATAAATCCTGCAGCACGCAGTGCATAATGAGGAAAAAAAAACTCCGACCATTTTTTTTTAACTAAAATGCCGACTTTGTGGTCTATTTTCGTATAGTATTTATGGTTGTATTCTCGTTTTCTTGGTCTCATTTGATAGAATGGAAAACATATTATAGAAATAGAGGTGATTTTGACTGGTTTTACTATGAAAAGAACCTTGAATGGAGCTCAGAGAAGGGGAAATGTTTGATTTTTGCTGATGTTCAAAAGTGAACAAATGATGTCATTTTCCAATAAATATCCAAGTAGCCATTCTAATATGCAGTCATGAATGGGTTGACATTATTTATACAATTATTACAATATTGCAGTAGTCTGCATAACAGTAAATCTTCTATTTTTTGTTTGCATAAAAATTCAAAATAGAAAGCAAGAGTAATATCAGAGGGGCCTGGAGACATGACTGATGAACAAGGAATGTCTGCATTCTTCATTCTGGACCCTATTTTGAAATTGTCATTTTTTTAATTTTCATGAAATTGGCCAAATTGCAAATTTCTGACCACGTTATTTGGTAGTCGAAATCGGTAAATGGGCAGTTTCCTGTACTCAATCGATAAAAAAAATGGAGTTCTAAAGAAATAGCTATGAGCTTGGTCAACTGGAACACTGAATTAGCTGAAAATAGGGCTCAAAGTGGGCAAAATCGCCGATTCATAAATATTACCAAGGTCGCTAACTTCGCAAGAGCATAATTCTGTCAGTTTTCCATCAAATTTTGTTCTTTTGGTGCCATTACAATTGAAAAAAGATTCTCTATCATTTCAAAAGAAAAAAAATAATTTTTTTTTTGGTGTGTGCGTGGGGATGGGGGGGGGGGGATTTTGCGACACCAGGAGACACCTCAGGATTTGGGGTTGCGACAGTCAAAGGGTTAATACCTAGTTTATAATGACTTCCTTTGAAATGAAAAAGGTACAGTTGTTCTTAGATGTTGCTGTATCCCAGAGTGATGCAGCCTGCTCTTTATACCTACCACATGTGGTTGGTTTTTGCTTTGCAGAATTATCCATATTAAATTTACAGTACATATATCAAAAATGTTTGTGTGATTTCTTGGCAGGGCAACTATTAAGAGTCCTACAGTGCTCTTTGGATATACAGTATCTCCATAATTCAAATGCAGAAGAATAAATTTGGCCATGTAAAAAAATTGATGATGCAGATAAACCTCTCAACAGTAGAGCCAAACAGACTTCTTTCACCACAGTTTATTTTATTAACAGTGTTCCATAAATTGCACATAGAGTAATCAGGATTAACTTACATTATAGTTCTTGTAATAACTGTGCATTAACCTTGTGTAGTATTGGCTCTTAAGGAAACTATTCTTTCTAATTTTGGGGGAAACATTAAACTCATAGTGGCCCTGCAGCACCTTGGAAAATAGAGGCTATCAGGTTCA